TTCCATCTCACCCCAGAAAGAGTGGCCGCCATCAAGAAGTCAACCAATACCAAACGCTGGCGGGACTGTGGGGAAGAAGGAGCCCTTCTCCACTGTTGGTGGGAGTGTGGACTGGTATAACCACTATGGAAATCAGCGTGGAGTCCTCAGAAGCTAGGATTAGCGGTCCCATTCCACCCAGCTATCCCGGCTTTTTAACGGTGACAGGAAGCACAGGCAACAGCAGGACAACTGCCAAGGCCTTGGGTAGAAGGCAGGAGGGAAGCTGCTCTCTCACTGACATCACCCCCTTGTTGAGGACCCCGGCCTTCCTCCAGAGATTAAAGACAGAGCCTCTGTCATATAGAATTTCATTTCTGTAGGTACAAAGAAGGGCTGATAAACTGAGCCCTGAGCTGGCAGGCAGGAGAGGGAATTTGATAGCCTTGAGCAGGTCTGGTCGTGTTTGGGGAAGAACACATTGCAGTCGGATAAATCTGAGTTTGGTTTCAGGCTCTGCCATCTCCGGTAATTGACTTAATCCCCATGAGCCTGGTTTGCTGTGGCATGAAAGGATAAACAGGGCTGTGTTAAAAAAAAAAAAAATGAGTAATAGAAATAATAACAGCAAACATGCGTGTAGCACTTAACTATGTTCTGGACACTGTTCTAAGTGCTTTGGACATAATAGTTGAATCCTCACAATAATTCTATAATGTGAGGGTTATTATTATTGCAGAAAGAACATGAGACAAGAAGTTAAGTGACCTGCTGGAGACCACACAGCTAGTGTGGCTCAAGCCAGGGCAATGCTCTAAACTCACTTTCCTGTACAGCATACAGAGGAAGGGCCTGGCACAGTGTGGGACATAGTAAATAAATGGCCAGTGCTTCTGCTTCTCCCCTTCCTCAAGAGCTACCCAGCTACAGAGTTCAGTCAGAGTGATATAAGTCCTCACCATTTGTGCAACCTTCCTGAGGCAGTCAAGGCACTTAAGGAAACAAGCAAGCTGGTGACATTGGGCCCTTGGCCTTGAATGACAGCTGCTTCCTTGCTAAGACCTGGCGGCGTGTCCCCATTCAGCTGTACGCAGGCGCCAGTCCAGCCATGCGCCGTTTCCTGTGTCAGTTGCACTCAGCCTTGTAGCTGCCAAATCCTCATATGCTGGAGCAGTCGAAGACAGAAGGGGAAGTGGGCAGTAGATAGCTGAGCCTCGGGCAAGCTCCCTGAGACAGCTGTTCTGAAAACCCGCACAACCCCGGTGCCTTCCAAACGGTGCCAATGATCTCTCAGTGCCGCTGTGCTGCTGGGAGAAGACCGACATGTAAGTGACACTTCAGGAATGACCACTGTCCCACTGTAGAATCTTTGTGGCTTTCCTAGTTCTGAGGGCTCATGCCCTTGACTGAAAGGCCGCTGCCCTGTGTCCTTCAGGAGCTCAAAACAATAAATTTCTGGTCACACAACTACAGTATAGTATTTGTAAAACAGTAGCAAAAAAGATTAAAAAGCAGTGGTAGAAGAAGGAAGTTAAAATAAAAAAGAAAGGAGTACTTTAGAGGCCCATTTCTTGGTGTTCCTTATACTTAAGATTTCCATTGACTAACCATGGATCTGTATATGTCAAATTTCCAAGAAAAATTTTTCGGACCATCACCACATCGACTGCGGTATGCCCTGGTCTTAGAGGATTCCTGCTTCCTATGGGACCCTAGAGATGTAGTTTCAAACATAGCCCAACTGTAGCCAACATAACAATACCGAAAGCCTTCTTACTTTTCTCACTGGCAAATGCTCATCTACCCTAAGAAGGAGTGTTTTTATCTTGGGGGTTAATTGAAAATATTAACCAAGAGGCCAGGACGGTGGCAACCTTGAGTCTAACCCTAAAAAGCATCACAACTAAAAATATTTTTATCCAAAGCATATCTTCATCCAAAATGGCATAGGTAAACCCACAATATTTAACAAAAGAGAATTGTATTAATCAAGGTTCATCAGAAAAAAAAAAAATAGAACCAATATGGTGTATAGACATGTATTTTAAGGAATTGGCTCACGCATTTGTGACAGCAGGCAAGTCTAAAGTCCACAGCGCAGGTACAAAAGAGGCTAGCAGGTGTGATTCAGAAAACAGTGGATATGGCGACCTCAAGTCCGAGGCAGAACTTCTCTTGGGAAACCTCAGTCTCTTCAAGCTTTCAACTGATTGGAAGAGGAGCACCCATGTTATGGAAGGTGATCCGCTTTCCGCAGAGTCTACTGATCTGAGCGCAAACGACATCTAAAAATACTTTCTTGACTGTTTGTTTGACCAAAACGGGATACCATGACCTAGTCAAGTTAACACAAGATGAACTACCATGAGCTTGTATCCAGCAGAGACCAGATTTTTGTGTGCATCTCTCCTAAAATGTTCTTCCTCCAAATAACACCCTCCTATTTCTATGCTGTGTTGACTAATGCTAGCCCCACTGGGGTCAAAGATGGAGGCTTTAAAAATTATAGGGATGCGTTAGATGTGTGTCCTGGGTGGTAAGATCGGTGAGTGGAATCAGAAACTTTCTTTGCTTTGTCCAAGTGACATCAACAAACCTTGCCATTTCTTCCTGTCATCACTTTACTGACCGCTGAACTATTACGCTTTTAGGAACTTTTTTTTTCTTTGAAAAGGAGATAACTGTGATCCACTTTCGTAAACTCATGAGAACAGTGGGCTTGCTCTGTAGAATCTATGTGCCACCCGTCATGCAAAATAACATTTATCACCGCATTTCAGGGATTCACAGATCCTGAAGCCCTTGCATGTGTGGACTCCAGCCTTAAATATTTCCTAGTTATCCACGTAGCAGCTGCTAGGTGCCAGGGATCCTGAGACGACCTTGATCCTAAAAGCTCACAGCGTCAAGAGATCAGCAAGAACACGGGTGTTTTCAACAGAGGAGCCAGATGAAATGGGCAGGGATGAGGCTTCCCATCCAGTCTTAGGAAGTTAGGCAAAGCCACTTCAGGAAGTCCGGGACATGACTGTACCCAGTTTGTCCTGCCTGGTCTTTCAAATGGAAGAAACTGATGGAGAAGAGAAAGCATGTTTGGTTGTTGCTTTTGTTTTGTTTCAGAGAAAATGTCTTTCGGGGTGACTTAGGATTAAGATAAGAGAGGAAATGAGTGTGAGGAATCAAGCAGGGCCCTGCAGCAGTTCTGTGTATCTTAGACCAAGATCGGCACATTTCTCATAAAGGGCCGTTAGTAAATGAGGCTTTGTGGACTCTGGACCATTAACTGTGATATGTCGCTGGAACTGCAGTAAGAAGCACGAAGCAGGCTAGCAAAGCACAGTTGTGGGGGTGCTTCCAGGGATGACTGCGTGTAGCCCTGCAAACCCAGGGCAGATGGACCCACCTGGGCTGTGGGAGGCACCAGCTCATAGGCTTGTAGCCTGAATGGACTACAAATGGGAAAGAAGAAAGTTTGACTACTTTGAGAACGTGAGTCTACTTGACCGGGGTGTCTTTGTCACTGTTGGACATCAGTGCCCACCTTTGATCAGCCTTCTGAGGCACACTCACAGCAGCGGCTCTCCAGTGAGTTTCTAGGCCTTGGGACTACGACCAATGCTGCGTGCTTGATCCCTCTTGTCATGTGACTTCCATTTGCGTAGGCTCAGCACCTACTAGATTCTTGGGCTCGTCATTATGGACTTTCTCACCTCTGCTCCTACAAGCCTACCTGATAAATCCCCTCGCATGATTATACACATATTTTCTATCAGTTCTGTTCTTCTAGAGACCCCTCATTAATATGCAGACCATTTGGCCGCAAGAGCAACTTCTCAGCTTGACCACTGTGACACAAATGCAGCCATTGACGATATAGCTACACCATAGTTGGTTTCTCTATATCTGTATATCTGTTGAAGGCTATCTTGGTTGCTTCCAAGTCTGGGCAATTATGAGTAAAG